CCTGCCACCGCAGCCTCGCCTGCTGGGCTCCGGCGATCCTTCCGCCTCAGCCTTATGAGTAGCCGGAATTACAGGCATGCGCTACCCCGCCCAGCTTTTTTTTTTTTTTTTTGATTTATTGTAGAAATGAGGTCTCGCTGCCCAGGCGGGTCTCGAACCCACGGGCTCAGGCAATCCACTCACCTCAGCCTCCCAAAAGCGCGGGATTACAGGCTGAGCCACCGAGCCCGGCGAGGAATAGGATTATTAAACAAAAATTTTTTTTTTTGAGTTGGGACTCACCCTGGCTGGAGTGCTGTGGCATGATCACAGCTCACTGCAACCTCAATCTCCTGGGCAAGTAATCCTCCCACATCATACTCCTGAGTAGCTGGGACTACATCACGTGCCACCATGCCCAACTAATTGTTTGATTTTTTTTTTTGGAGAGATTAGATCTCACTACATTGCCCAGGCTGATCTTGAACTCCTGGGCTCAAGTGATCCACTCGCTTCAGTTTCCCAAAGTACTGGGATAACAGGTGTGAACCACTGCACCCCTAGATGAACTTGTAAGAGTAAATCTTCTAATTAATTAAATCAGAACTTGAGGATTTAAAATTTCACAATTTAGATATAAATAAACAAATAACAACATAACACTGCATGTATTACACAATACATATAATACAATAGTATATATAACACTGTATGTATATTGTATTACATACAATATAATCATATACAGTATGATTCCATATGTGTTTATATGTGTATTAGAAAGTAGTCCAGAGGGCTACCAACCAAAATGTTACTTGGAACTAGGGTGAGACCAGCATGGCTTCTAGAATGTTTGATGTACAGATGACCTTATTCTCAGGGGGGCAGGGGGTGGCACCTGACGGTGAGTGTGTTCTTACATGTTGTGTCCTAGGTGCCTCACATGTCTCACCCTCGTCTTGGCTGTGGTAGGGTCCCGAGGCTGCTGGATCACAGATTCTTTCTTTCCTCTTATTTTTCACTTGGTTATATGTTCAAGTTCCTTGCTACTCCAAGTGTGGTACCTGGACCAGCAATGTTAGCATCACCTGGGAGCTTATTGAAAAACAGTATCTTGAAGATAAAGACGCAAATGAAAACAAAAACAAAAAGTAAATCAAAAACCAGAAATAGCCAGGCTCCTTGGCTCAGCCTGTAATCCCGCACCTTGGGAGGCTGAGGTGAGTGGATTGCCTGAGCCCGCGGGTTCGAGACCCGCCTGGGCAACTTGGCGAGACCTCATCTCTACAATAAATCAAAAAATTAGCCAGGGATGGTAGCGCGTGCCTGTAGTTCCAGCAACTTGGAAGGCTGAGGCGGAAGGATCACCGGAGCCAGCAGGTCGAGGCTGCGGTGGCCGGGAGTGGCCGCTGCACTCCAGTCTGGGCGACAGAGTGAGA